AGGCGTGGCGTGCGCAGGGGGTGGGCGCGAGGGTCGTCCAGGCATAGCAGGCGTGGCATTTTCTCGACACCAGAGGGGGTGCGCAGGGGGTGGTCTCCCTATGCGCGCCAGGGTCGTCCAGGCATAGCAGGCGTGGCATTTTCTCGACACCAGAGGGGGTGCGCAGGGGGTGGTCTCCCTATGCGTGCCAGGGTCGTCCAGGCATAGCAGGCGTGGCATTTTCTCGACACCAGAGGGGGTGCGCAGGGGGTGGTCTCCCTATGCGTGCCAGGGTCGTCCAGGCATAGCAGCAGGCGTGGCATTTTCTCGACACCAGAGGGGGTGCGCAGGGGGTGGTCTCCCTATGCGTGCCAGGGTCGTCCAGCATAGCAGGCGTGGCATTTCTCGACACCAGAGGGGGTGCGCAGGGGGTGGTCTCCCTATGCGTGCCAGGGTCGTCCAGGCATAGCAGGCGTGGCATTTTCTCGACACCAGAGGGGGTGCGCAGGGGGTGGTCTCCCTATGCGTGCCAGGGTCGTCCAGGCATTGCAGGCGTGGCATTTTCTCGACACCAGAGGGGGTGCGCAGGGGGTGGTCTCCCTATGCGTGCCAGGGTCGTCCAGGCATAGCCTCTAGTGCGGGATTGCGTAGTACCTCTCGTATCCAAGTGCCATTCGACGCCGGATATGACCGTCACAGATGACTCCTCAACCCCTCCTCTCCCCCCACACGTCCTCCCCCTCCTTTCAACGACCACAGGGGGCACCTGAGAGCGTGACGGCGGTGGTAGTGGTAGCGCGGTTCACACAAGACATAAAATCAGTATGTGGGGTTTCTCGGTAGCGTAATTTCTGATTATGTTTGAAGATTCCCCCTGTGGAGGGAAAGGCACGACTTAACCCAATCGGTGGAAAATGTAGCTAAACGCGTCAGGCGCCGACGTGTCGATGGCGACCTCGACAGCCTACCCTGCTGCGTGCACTTGGAAGTAATGCAGCACATTCCAAGAGCAAGAGCTTGTATAGTTAAAGGTAGGGGCGCATGTCCGAGCCAACATGACTCCATCAATGCTCCGATGGGTCCGCCAGTGTGCAGTAGGCACTCAACGGAGTGTCCTCGAGCCCCTTCGAGTTCTCTGTGCTGGATGTTGCCAATGATCTAAGGGGCTCAGGGCGCGGAATTCCGGGCGCTGTTGGGCGCTTCCTGGCGCTCTCGGGGCGGCTCGCGTTTTTTAAAGGCCTCGGGAGCGTGGTTGAGATTTCATACCTCCTCCTCCTCCTCCCCCTCGAACATGGTCTCAGACGGTCTGCAGGCCCGTCCTGAAGCCCTCTTGGCCGCAGCTCCTGGCCCGGCTTTCGGCGGCCTTGGAGGCCGGCCCGGTAGGCTCAAGTCCTTGACGAGCACATTGGGTTTCGTGTGACGTTGACGTGCTCGTCATTTCGATCTTGAGAGCGCCCGAGGCGGACCAAGAGGCCCCCAAAGAAATGTCCCAAGACGACCACCCAAACCCCAGGAAGGGTCCAAGAGGCTCCCAAGACGGCCCCACGAGGTGGAACACAAACAGACATGTGAAGCCCTGGGCGCGAGAGGCCCCGACGAGACCTCCAAGAGGCTTCCCAAAATGCATCTGAGAGACCTATGGTCCACAACTCAGGCACAGTGCTGGATTGGGCCGAAGACCACTAGATACAGCTTCCAATAATATCTTACCACGCACCCGCTGAAGCGCTGCTTCTTGCCCGTGGCGTGCAACGTCATACTGCACTCACAACAGCAAGTGCATGTAGACGGGCGCCTTCACGCAGCGTATCTCGAGATCACCCAGTACCCTTAGACGCAGCTGCAACTAGCTGCAGAAATAACGCTAACCTCGCAGAGGAGGAGGAGGAGGAGGAGGAAGAAGAGGAGGAGGAGGAAGAAGAGGAGGAGGGGGAGAGCAAAGAGGAGTCCCACCAGCCCTCTGGGCGCGGGTGGTTTAGCGGGGCATCTCTTCCAACGCCCTTCTTTCCCTTCGGGGAGGCGTTTACCCCTCACCCTACCCGCACGTGGCAACACGTCCCTCCTGGCCTAACAATGCGAAAAGGACCGATCGCAGATGAGCGCGCACATGGACGCAGAGTTGCTCGCGCACAAGCGTGTGCCCACGCGGTGGCCGAGCGGATTGATTGGCGATGCCAGGGCCCGACGGGACGCATTCGTTGCCGCTTGATGTCCCCGACGTAGTCTCAACATGGCCTCCAAAGTCAGCCAACGTCTGGCCACATCGGAGCCGAACGCGCTCTCAAGACCTGTCGTTGGGCCCTCGGGGAGAACTCTTAGGGGAGGAGGAGGAGGAGAAGGAGGAGGAGGAGGAGGAGGAGGAGGAGGGAGGGGAGGGGGAAGGGGAGGAGGAGGAGGAGAGGAGGAGGGAGGAGGAGGAGAGAGGGAGAGGAGGAGGAGGAGGAGGAGGAGGAGGGGGTCGCCAGGGCACTCTCTGTGCAAGCTGCGCAGGCCCCGGCGACCAGCTCACGATCTGGAGGTGCCTTGGGCTTCGGGGGCCTCCTGATGCCATCTTGGGGGGCCCGTGACCCTCTTTTTTATAACATCCCCCAGTTAAGTAAGGCTTGTTGTTGTTTCTTGATTAAGCTCGTCCTTTCGCCCTCACAAGGCAGGTGAGGGCGCCCACAAAAGGATCCCAAGAGGGTCACGGGAATCCCAGGGGTCCCAAGAGGGTCACGGGCCGCTTTTGGGGGCCCGTGACCCTCTCGGGACCTTTCAGGGCCGTCTTGGGGCTCTCAGGCCGTCCCGCGACCCTCCTGGGTCGTCTCGGGGCCGTCTTGGGGCTCTTCTGGGCTGTCTTGGGGCGATAGATTCGCCTCTCTGGAGTAGCCTCGAGCCCGAGAAGACGAACACGGAACACTGATTGGAGGGCTCTTGTTTTGATGGCATTCGTTTCTTCGGAGCCCTTGGTGCTGTCTCGGGGCGTCTTCCGGGCCTCTGGGCCGTCTTGGGGCTCTCTTGGGCCGTATTGGGGCCATTCTGGGCCGACTTCGAGGCTACCCTGGTGCATCTTGACCGTCTTGGAAGTCGTCTTCCCGTCCAAGAAGCCTTTGGGAGCCACCCGCTACCGTCTTGGAGGCCATCTTGGGCCGTCTGGGAGGCTGACCGAGGCAAGACGGCACCCCTCCCTTAGCCGCGGGTCGGCTGCAGGGCCCGGCCCGAGCTGTCAAGCGACGTCCGCTTCTGGGTCTGGACGCCCACCCCACCCCTACGGTGGATCAGGGCCTCCAAGATGGCCCCAGGTGGCTCCAGGATGGTCCCAAGATAGGTGAGCGTTTTTTATTCGGCGTTTCGACATTGGGCGGAAGGGGGGGAGGGGGTCTGGCTGCGGACCTCTGCTTAGTGCGACTGTTTGCAGCAGTGAGTCCTAGGCGCCAGAAACAGCCAGGATCTACTCCACGGGGGGGGAGGGAGGGGGGTGCGAGGGCCCGCGCCGAGCGGCCAAAGAATGCATAGAAAAACGCTCACGAGCCCAAGATGGCCTGCAAGATTGATGCGTTTCCCAAATGGACGCCAGAGCAAGGGACTTCTGAGACCGCGGCGTTGCACTGGAGTCTCCGAAGAGCGAGCGAAAGCGCCGCGCGACGACCCTGCGGAGGAAGCCGGTCAGACTTGAGACATCGGCATCGCCCGTTTCAAAAGTCCCTTTCCCTGGGGTCCCCTTGGGAACCATGTGAAAAATGGCGCGAACTGATCGTCGTGGAAAAGGCGGTCTCCAACGTGCCTCCAATGAAAGCGGGGGGGATCGCCGCAAGTCGGCCCACGGTGGCCGTGGACCCCCCTCCAAAGGATGCCCCCGAGAGGCCATCACCCTTCAAAGACTAGGTGCGTATTTCAATGACTTGTGCCTCCTACTACCCTCGTCAAAATTCGCCGGCCCAACGGGCCAGAGGCGTGCTAAGATCTTCGGTCTACTTAACAATATTTCTAGTTCGCGCGCGCGGGGCGGCCCCTGGGGGGCCCCGGACGAAAAGTACCCCGGCCGATCCCCAGCTGACCCCCGGGCGATCCCCAGGGGGGGAGCTATTTTTCGCCCCCCCTCACGAGGATCGTGGCCTCCGAGGGGGGGGCGCAATCGACTACCCCCCCTCCCGCCCCAAGGGGCCCCCAAGAGCCTCCCAAGAGGCCCCAGGGGAGCCCAATACGCCACCAACGAGCCCCAAGACGCTCCCAAGAAGCCCCCACGACGGCGAGGCCCTAAATAGCGCTCCAGGGCCGGCGGAATGAGCGAAGCGATTAAATTCACCTTCACCTCAAAAATGGCGACCACGCCCCTGCGATGTCGGCGCGCCCTTCAATGTCGATAGACGCCCCTCCAATGTCGAGGCCAGGGCAAAAGTGGTCTGACCGGGACGAAAGTTCGATGATGACCGACATTGGAGGAGCGGCGCACACAAGTACCTCGCAGTCACCGCTACTCTGTCCAGTATCTCCCCACAAACAGTTCAGCCACGTAAGACATTTATGAGGTTAATTTTGACGTGGGTTGTAGTTCTTTTCATTCCGATGAGCTCTTGGTACCTCAATATGGCCCGAAGGTGGCCAAACAAGGCCGGCTGAAGCACCCAGGAGAGCCCCTAGAGGGTTCAAACGCACCGGAAGGGTGTCCCCAGAGGGCTGAAAGCGGTGTTGCTCTCGTGCTCCAGCAAGGCGAGGCCAACTAGAGCCGCCCCCCATTTCGATCGACGGCCTCCCCGTTTGTTCCAAGAGGGCCCGAACGACCCCCAAGAACTCCCCAAGGGAGCCCCGAACGCTCCTAATATTTATCCAACAGGGCCCCCGAATGGCTCCAAGAGGCTCCCAGAGGTATCTAAGCCGACCGTTGCCAGCCTGTTTGTTTCACTGTCTGCTTCTCTACTATTGTTCTTCCAATAACTCGCCCACGCATCGTTTCTGGGAGTGCTCGTGGGAATGTGAGCACCGTCGAACCTTACAATGCGTTTCAAGGTGATGGGGAGGGAGAACATTCACCTCATTCTGAGTCACATAGTTCTTTCCACGACGATCGAAGGGATGTACTGTTGCAAGCCCAAGCTCGTAAGAATATATTGCGCTGCGGACATCACCTTGTCCTCGGGACCTTCAAGAGACGGGTGGCCGCCATCTCCTGCCTTCGGTACGTCTATGCTTACATCTGGATACATTTTTCGTAACAATTTCATGTTCTCGCCACCCTTGCCGATGAGTCTGCCATACATGTCCCTGCGCACGCATATCAGCGAGCACGTGACCGGGGGCAACGGCCTGGCTCTGATCGACTCCTCCTCGGCAAGCTTCATCAGACGGGCGACTAAGTCAGAGGCTGTCTGACTCTGCTGCATCATCGCCTTGGCATGGGCGGCCGCAAGCGCTGGTGTGGGTTGCGTCGCCACCTTGGTCTGGACTCCTGCGCCGCTACTTTGACCAAAGGCAGAGCTGCTACAATGAGAGAACTGGGAGCGGTTCGCAGCCGAGCCAATTAGCTGTCGAAGCAGCTCCAGGTGATGGCTGGGCAACTCGCGTTGCTCTGGCATGCCGCGCACATTGGCTGTGACTTTGCATCCACTCTGGCTTTGGTTCGGCCGCATAGCAAGCAGCGAGCCGAACAGCTGCTCTGGGATAGCAGTCATCTGAGAGCACATGAGATGAGAGCTCTTCTTCCCCTCGACAAACAACATACTAGCACCAACTAACACCACTGGCGGTTCCGCGACGGGCATGCACACGCTGTCAGAACCCACAATGACACCATCTGCTTGTCGGCGGTAGCACTGGCAACATGCCGTTACGATTGGGCGACATGAAAGTTCTGGTTTCTTGTTGTACGGGAATCCCTGCCCCCAAGCAACGTTTCCCATCTGCACAGCGCGTTGGGCCTCAGAAGCAGAGACAAATGTGGTCTCCCTCTCGCTACTTTGAAGTATCTGCAAGCCCAACTCTCGGCTCAAGAAATTGGGCAATCTTGAGCCGCCAGACCCGGATCTCTTGCATCTGTATTTGACAGTTTTGCTCGGTGCTCCTTTTATCCCCACAGCGTTCGGCAGAAAAGCAACCCCAATGCACCATCGTGCAACTAACAGCCGGAGGTCTTCAGGATCGTACTTGCCCACGAGACTCTCCAAACTTCGAGCTGGATCGCGAGAAGAGGTCTCGCTGCCGTGCGGCATTGCCTTCCCAGCCGACTGCATTCGGAGGTGCTGCGACCTGCGGAGGCCCATGATCTTCTTCAACTGCTCTGTGCAAGTGCTCTCCACCCAGCCAAGCTCTGCAAGCACGCCCTGGATCTGGCACTGCATCTCCTGGATCTCTTGCAACACATTCAGGGACAAGTAATGGTTCCAACACCAAGCCGCCTCCTCCTTCACAGATGGGATTGGTCGCCCTTTGTGCCCGCGGAGAAACTCCTGCCACGCGTCAAACGCCCGCAAGCCTGCCAGCAAATCGGAGTCTGGGCAGCAGGCACGCCGGACGTCGACGACTTGACGAGCTTCGAAGGGGCGGAAGCTTGCATCCTGAAGAAATGGGGAACCACGCTGCACCACCCCTGCGAGCACCGTGCAAGCATCCAGGGCGCCGAAGCGGAGGCCGCTCCACACGAGGAGGCCCAATTCCGGTTCAGCGGGCCATTTCTGCAAGAGGCAACCGAACGGAGTTGGCCTGAACTGGTCGTCAACAGCTCCGACCTCGATCAGGTGCTGAAACGACTCCTCCACACGATCCCTGTTCGGGGGCGACAACACGCAGTCTTGCAGAAACTGGCGCGGGTCTTTCACGACCGGAGACCCTGCCAGCAACAATAACAACTCAGAAACGCTGGCGCTTTCCATCTGTGCTGTGGCGTGCGCTGGCAAGCGCAAGAAAGCTTCCTCGGGGATCAAGCGGTATACCGTTCCGGGCCCCAGCCGCCCAGTGCGACCGGCTCGCTGCAGCGCTTCGTCCTGGGCGATCGGCACTTCCTGCAGCTGGTACTCTTGCATCGCCTCGTTGAATTTCTTGCGCTTGTGGGTGCAGGTGTCGATAACCACATCAACATCGGGAATTGTCACAGTCGATTCCACAATGTCAGTAGCAAGGATCACCGCGCGCAAACGGCCGCCCTCAAATGACTGCAGAATCTGTTGCTGCTTCTCCACCGCGATGCCCGCGTACAAGGCCTTCACGTCTAGCTCGTGCCTGTTAAGTTCGTCTTGCTTCTCGAGCAGCTCCGTGGACAGGTTGTTGATGTCCCCTCGACCTGGCAAGAACACCAAGAACTTTGACCTCCTGCTGTTTGTCTCATGGAGGTGCCAGATGAAGTTAGCCATTGAGGCAGGATCGACGCCCGTGCAGTGGTTGAATGATGGGATCTCATTTATGTACCGTATGTCGATGGGGTGTGTCGCCCCCTCGATCGTCACGATCCACTGGCCCACCGTATGGGGCCACCAGGCTGCGCGAAGCACAAGTCTTCTCGTAAGCTGTCCCTGCCTGCGACCCGCTCCTGTCAGTTGATGACGAGTGACGCGTGAGATGCTCCAGCTTCTGGAAGCTCAGTAACCCTGGAGATTGTTTGTTCTCCCTATGGCGCGTAACGGTTGTTACCCGCCCCCCCCGCGGGGTAACGGAAACGATCGCACGTCGGTGTGGGCCCAGACCCCCTCCCGTGCTGGTGCCCGCGCGCGCTCACCGCAGCGATCGCAGCGCACCCCCGGCCTCGGCGTGCCCCCACCCCCGCCCAGGCGTTGCCGTCACCGGGGGGCCCCAACTCGGGGGCGTCCAAGAGGGGGGCGTCCAAGAGGGGGGTTCGCAAATCATGGCCCGAGGCACGTGCTTGGCCCGGGGGGCGGCAGGGGACGTATTGAACGAAGAAGAGCGGCCCAGGAGGCCTGGGGGACGTCATGGACCCCGCCATGAGATCCCCCACTAATCATCACTTCCCTCTCGGCCGCCCCCGACCCCTCGCCCCGGGTAACGACCGTTGTCGGAAGCAATGAGAACCAATCTCCTGGAGGCTTTACGCACGACTGCTCAGGGAAGTATGGCGGCTGAAAATGTAGCTGGGCACCCGAAGCCACCCCTCTGAGCGTGTTGCCTCAGCTCTGGCTGCCTCACAGACAAGTGGAAACCGTATATCATCCAAACAACAGCCTCCACGTCCCACGAAGGCGCCAGGACGGCCCCCGCGATGCATTCATGATGGTTGTAATAGGGCCCGGGATGGCCCCAAGAGGCCCGACTGCGACCCCAATAGTTCTTGCATAGCTAAACTTAAGTCGGGCGTGTCCCCCTACAGGCGGATTCTTGGGGAAAAATGAAAAATTACTCGAAAAATGCACCAAGATACTCAAAAACTAACTCAACAATCTTCCTAGACAATCCCACCAGCCCTTTGGGCGTGAGTGGTTTAGCGAGCTCTCTCTGTCCTCAACCCCCCTTCTTCCCCTCCGGGGAGGGGTTTACCCCTCCCCCTACCCCCTCCCCCTGGGTCTGGAGAGGGCGGGCCGCGGGTCGTTGGAGGGGTCTTTTTCGACTCCTGGGAGGGCCAAAAAACGACGACCCTCACGAGGATTCTGGCCCCGACGGGGGGACACCGAAAAAACCCTCTCCTCTTCTGTGAAGCCAAAATCATTGATTTTACTACGGTTTCGGCCCCATTTTGGCCTTCTGAGGGGGCAGCGCTCCTCTTCCTTGTTCTCAAAATCATTGATTTTACGAAGGTTTTGGGTTCATTTTGTCTTTCTCAGGGGGTAGCGCTCATTTGCGCTTCTGAGGAGGTCGCAAGAGGCCCCCAAGAGGCCCCAAGATGCCCCCAGGAGGCTCCCAAGAGGCCTCCAAGAGGCCCCCAAGAGGCCCCCAAGAGGCCCCAAGAGGCCCCCAAGAGGCCCCCAAGAGGCCCCCAAGAGGCCCCAAGAGGCCCCCCCAAGAGCCCCCAAGGCCCCCCCCCCCCAAGAGGCCCCAAGAGGCTCCAAGAGGCCCCCAAGAGGCCCCACGAGGAGCCCGAACGACTCACACCAGGACGAGGGGCCCGAACGACTCACACCACGAAGAGCCCGAACGACTCACACCACAAGGAGGGGCCCGAACGACTCACACCAGGACGAGGCGCCCGAACGACTCACACCACGAGGAGCCCGAACGACTCACACCACGACGCGGGCCCCGAACGACTCACACCACGAGGAGCCCGAACGAGTCACACCAGGAGGAGGGGCCCGAACGACTCACACCAGGATGAGGGGCCCGAACAACTCACACCACGAGAAGCCCGAACGACTCACACCAGGACGAAGAGCCCGAACGACTCACACCACGAAGAGCCCGAACGACTCACACCAGGAAGAAGGGCCCGAACGACTCACACCAGGACGAGAAACCCCAAACGACTCAAATCACGAGGAGCGCTTTCTCTGCCTCCTCCTCCGCCTCGTCCTTCTCCCGCTCCCCCCACAAGGAGGATGTGCAAGGAGGCGGGAGGAAGGAGGAACAGGGGAGATATGCGGGGCCAAGCGGACACACGCCTGAAAAACACGACTGTCGGCATGCTTCGCAAGAGTTGCTGCTGTGAGATGGCATGGTGGGGATACGCGAAGCGTAAAGCATTTTTTGACTATCTTCGAATATTCCTCCTGAAGAGGGACAGGCCCGACTTCAGGCTGAACATAGACCCCAAGGTGGCAGTGAATCACACCAGCCCTCTGGGCGCAGCGGGTTTAGCGAGCTTCTTCGTCGAACCTCCTTCTTCCCTCCTTGGCGAGGTCTACCCCTCCTCCTCCTCCTCCTCCTCCTCCCCCTCCTCCTCCTCCTCCTCCTCCTTCTCCTCCTCCTCGTCCTCCTCCTCCTCCATTCCTTTTCCCCCTGGGTGTGGACAGGGTGGGGGGTGCGGTCGGGGGGCGAGGTGGCAGATTGTCCAAGATATGCCACTCTAAGATGTCCCCAGGTAGCCCCAGATTGCTTCCAAGATCGCGCAAAATAGCTCAGGACGGCTCCATATAACCTCCAGCATGCGTCCAAGAGGCTCAAAGGCCGCTCCAAGTGGCTACGGGGCCTTGGACGCCCCCGACAGGCCAACATTGCCTAAACACAAATGGGAAATCCGCCGACCTTTTGTGGTTTCATCGGCGTGTGAGATAATTGCCCCCCCCCCACCCCCAGCCCCTAGCCTGGGAGCCCACTCCGGTCGATTTGGACGGAAGGGCGGGATCCGGACAGATCGGCCGGGGGGGGGTCATCCGCTCTATAGAAGTGATCCTGGACGGCCTCCGATAGCCTCGGCATGGTCCCTGGAGGCCCCAAGGCGGCCTAACGTGGCCTGCACGTGGCCCCAGATGGCCACTACACGCTCCAATGTGCCCTCACGACAAACCACGATACCCCGAAGGCGCCCCCAGAGGGCTCCAACAGGACCCTCAACAGGGTCCCCAAAACGACAAATCGCCCCTTGTCCTTTTGGAGAACAATAATTTCTGCAAATTTGCTGTATTCGTTTTCGCAGCGCCAAAGACGCGCCAAAAGGTCTCCGAGATCGCCCCACAACGGTCCCAAGAGGCCCCCCAAAGCGCACCAAGACGGCCCAACAAAGCTTCCAAGAGGGCCCCCAGACAGCCCAAGCGGGCCCCCAAAGGCCGAAGATGCCGTCAAGAGGCCCCCAATACGCCCCCAGAGGCCCCAACATGCTCCCAAGAAGCCCCAAGAGGCCTCTTCAGTTCAGTCGGGCCTGGGCCAGAATAACATCCTTCAAGAACATGAAACCCTCCGTCGGGCAAAACGCACAGAACGTCCAAGGGTACCCTCCCAATGTGCACAACAACATCCAACAAACACGAAGAGCACTAATGTACCCTCCCCGAACCGATCTCGATCTTACACCTCGGTCCGGCTGTATGTCCACGATCGCCCAAATGCCCACGTTCTTCGCGCAGCGGGACTCGACCCCCATTCCCCTGCGGTGACGATGCGGCGACCGGGTGCATCGCACTTTCCGACGCCTGTCGCCGTCCGCGCAGGTGCTCGCCTCCGCGGGGGCGCCTCGTTTGGCCTCCTCGAGGCGTCTGTCCCGCCCTACAGCACTTCGCACATGCCACCGACTGACCTTGCTTGCAATACAGTGGAAGCCAGTCCGCAAGAAACCGTCCACAAGAAACCCAACCCTGGGACTCGAGGGCGTCCATTGGTTTTTGGAGTGGGAGCGCTACGCTTTCCATAGCAAAACAATCGAAACCCAAAAAACCCAGGGCACCCTCGAGGCAAGCAGGGTGTTTCTTGGCATGGGTCTGCACTGTACTTCCAGGGTCTTTCGGCAAATGCCCACCGTCTGATCACGCGGGCTTCGGCTCGTCTCCGCTCCAGAAAGGAGCCCAGACGGCCTCCGATAGCCTCGAACTGGTCCCGGGAGGCCCCGAGACGGCGCAATGGGGCCTCTACGTGGTCCCCAGTAGCCCCAAAACGTTCCAAAATGGCCTCCAAACAGCCAACAGGCCTCCAAGATGCCCCGAGGGCCCCGAGAAACTCCCAACAACGCCCCAGGAAGGGATAATCGTCCCAATCCCTTCGGCAAGCCTACTGCTTTGCACATTCGCTGTTTTGGTCTTCGCAGCGTCCAAGACGGCCCAAGAGGCCCTCCACATCGCCCCCACACAGCCCCATACCATCCCAAGAAGGCCCAAGGCAGTTACGCAAACCTCCAAGAGGGCCCCCAGATGGCCCATGAGGGCTCCAAGGAGGCCCAGGAAGTTTTCAAAACCGCCGCGGAAACGCCCCCGAAACAGTCTCCGAAGGCACCAGACGGCCCAAGAGCGCACGAAATGGCCCAAAGGCCCCCAAGGGGTCGGCGGTGCGGCGTAAGCCTTCAAATCAATGAATGCTTCATTCTCGCCTGTTCGCTTCCGATGAGCTCGAACAGTCCCAGTATGACTCCCAGATTACCCGAAATAGTCCTAAGCGGGTCCCAGGAAAACTTCAAGACGGGGCCACGAGCGCCCCAAGAGGGATATAAGATGCGACTTCTGGACGTCCGATAAAGGGGCCCGTAATTGGTGCTGCCGTCTCTTTTGGCGGTTTCCCTCCTAGATGGCCCCAATCCAACCTCAAGAGAGTATCCAAAATTCCCCCAAGGGCACCTAGATAGTCCCAACGGGCCTCCATTGTTGGCCTCCTTGCGTGACTTTCTGCTTCTCTGCTCCTGCCACGGCTCGCGTGGGCATCGTTTCTGGATGGGCTGGTGGGGGCGCGCGAAGTATTCAGAATTTACCGGAAGGTACCCCCCTGAGGCCCAAATATGCACCCAAGATCGCCCATGACGGTCCAACCGGGCCCCATATGATCCGAAGACGCCCCAGTGTTGCAAGATGGCCCAAGTTTGCTGCATGGTGGCCCTCAGAGACTCGAAGGTGCTACTGAGAGACCGCAGTATAGCTGTTACAGCCCAACGTGGCGCCAAGGTCCTAGTCTGGCCCATGAAAGTAGAAACCCATGGCAACGTCAACGCCGACGAATGCTTCCCACCGGACAACGCCCTCGCCAAGAACCCGACCGGGGACCGACGGCAGAGGAATAGCCCCTTTAGATTTCAGCACGCCCATTGATCCCATCGGTGCCGTCATTGAAGTAGTTCTTCAATTTGGTGCAGTCTGTTTTGGCTGACATGAGTATAACCTTCAAATGTTTGTCACGCTTGAGTACGTCATGCTTCAACACTGCCAGAAGGACGTCATCGAACACGGAACGATTGTGGACCTCGTCCACTATTAAGTGCGTGCAAGAAATGCCGCCTGCACCCTGCAAAAATTGCTGCATGGCGATTGCAGTTGTCTCATACACCAACCGAGACGACCGGCTGACCTCCGCTACGCCCCCGATGCGGTACCCAACCTCATGACCAAGTTCTGTGCCGCAGAGCTCTGCCACGCGCCTGGCCAAGCTCATTGCGCCGATGCGGCGAGGCTGCGAGACAATGATGCGTTTTGGGCCACAGATGTCGTCGTCTTCCAACATCATCCTGGGAACGCCGGTCGACTTTCCAGAGCCTGTGCTGGCGCTCAGGATAGTGACCTGGTTGTGCTTCACAGCGTCAAGGATTTTAGGCTTGCTCTCATCAACCAAAAACTTGCCCTGCCAATGGCTGAGCAGGCGCAACCGCGTGTTGTCGCGAAATCGCCTCCGTAGCTCGCATATCAAGACGCTGATCCTATCGAGGTCAGCTCGGCTGCCGCGAACCTCGACCTTAATGACAAGGCGAGCCGTTGACCTGTCAAGCCATGTGCGGATCACCTCCCCTCGACCCAACGCCTTCAGCTGCTGCTCGACTCGGGAGCACGACACCCCATCTACCACATCACGGATGCTGAAGATCTGCGAGCGCATGTCGGGCGAGGCCGCGCCTTCCACCAGGGCAGCAACGTGTCGGTCCAGGCAAATCTGCTGGTATGCACGCAGCAGCGCCGCTCGCAACGACTGCATGCCTGGGCTGCCACGCGTCAACTCCAAGTCGGGCGCGGGAGGGAAGCGCCGCACGACTAGCGACTTGTCCCTGGTCGCGCTCAGTGCCCAATCGAAGAAGCTGTAGAGCGCCTCGCCCGGGCACGTGCAAGGAGCCCGTCCCGCCGCTGCGGTTTGCTGCGAAACAAACAGCTGCGACAGGGCCGCCGGGGTCCACTCGGTGTACCACACGAACGGGTCGGCCTGATCGAACTCGCTGTCGTCCTGCGCACTTCGGCCCTCCGCGACAGCTCCAAGCAAAAACTGACGATGGCGAACGAACAAGGTGCACACGTCCATAGCCGCCAATGGCCAACCATCGCCCTGCGTATTGGACCAAGCTGCCAGCACGAAACAGACGGGCGCCAGCTCGGGGTGCTTCTGCAACCAAGCTGTGAGACTTCGGCGCGCGCTCACGTCTGGCTCACCAGAAATGTGGATTCGAAGCGCCTGCTCGCTACCAGGTGCGACGATACACGCACATTCATCCTGTGCCTTGCCTGCTCGACGGAATCGCCGCTCAATCGCGGGAAGAACTTGACGCACAGTGAGCCGACAACTGGAATGCACAGAAAGATCCAACGTGGCAGTCCGACCAACTGGAGGTAACAAATTGAGGCCGAGGAGTCCAGACGGCTCCACGACCGCGCCATCGAGACACTGACTGACTTCGTCTGCAAGGCCCCAGGCGCGATTATCTGGCCCAGACACCTTCGCGCGATACATGCTGCCAATCGATTCTGCCAGGGATCTGAAGAGACACTCGGAAGAGATACCTTGGACACGATCAACACCCCGAGGACGTATGGTCGCCAATGAATCGCTCACCAACCATGCAAATGATCCGCCATCGTGCACCTTGGCACGCTGAGGCGTGGTAGCATGCCAAGGAGGAGGAGGAGGAGGAGGAGGCGGAGGAGGAGGAGGAGGAGGAGGAGGAGGAGGAGGAGGGAGGAGAGGAGGAGGAGGAGGAGGAGGAGGAGAAAGAGGAGGAGAAGGAGGAAGAGGAGGAGGAGGAGGAGAAGGAGGAGGAGGAGGAGAACGAGGAGGAGGAGAAGGAGGAGGAGGAGGAGGAAGACGAGGAGGACACACACGCACACAAACACACAAACACACAAACACACAAACACACACATGTTGGACACGACGCATAAAAGGGGGTTCAACGTCAAAACACCTACGCCGGTGCCTTGCGCGCATCTGGCAAAATCCTCTGCGATTGGTTATGCAACGGCCCTGAAATCTCACTAGGGCCGGCAAGGGGCATACCCCTTTGCTCAAGGAGTGCGCTCCGAAGGGGCCCGTAAGAGAGGCTCGCTACCTTACGATCACGACTCCCTGCGGGTCAGCGCGGGGGGTCCAGCTGCTGGCCCTTCCGCGTGCCAAAGGGGTGGGGGCGCGCGGGTTTAGCAGGGCGCCCAAGCTGGGGGGGAGGAGACGACGACACGACAACTCAATAGGAGGAGGGGGAGAGGGTCGGGAAGCTCGTGCTTCCAAACCTTTTGCTCGGAGGCCTAATTACCAAATTGATTTTACTATATGTTATTCTCTCCTCTCTCGTTCGGCTCACTTCTCTTCCACATCGAACTGGCGCCGATCATTGTCCCATGCAATGTCGTATCTGTACTCTGATACCCTGTTGAAATATCCCACTCTTCCCCCTCGAAACGTATGTGGGGTAGAGCATACTGGCAGTCACGGTATGTTGTAAGTGGGGCCATCAAGGGTGCGCTCTGGTGGGCTTCGTGATGATCCCCTTTTTTCCCCATTCGTTACCACGCAGTAGTGTACCAGTCGGCGCTCGAAAACACACACACACACACACACACACACACACACACACACACACACACACACACACACACACACACACACACACACACACACACACACACACACACACACACACACACACACACACACACGCACACACACACACTTCCCATGTCGATGTCGGTGCGAGCGCTGTGTGTGCCCGTCCTGTTTGCCTAGACTTGCACTCCGAGATAACCTCGCCAATGCATCTTTTGGCTTTGCCAGTGGGCTCGTCCAGATTGCCCTGAGTAGCACTCCGAGAAAACCTCGCAAACGCATCTCTTGGCTTTCCAGTGGGCTCCAGTGGGTATTATCACTGGTGGCCGCTGGAGGAGCTGACCGTCGTCGTCTCCTCCGACCTGGGGTAGGCGAACTGTTCCTGAGATCTCGGTCTCGCCCAGCAGGGTCTGCGCGCTGTCTCGTAGCTTCTGTCGCTCTTTGAGCCTTTTTCACTTTCTCTGGATCGAGATTATCCTCGTTGCACAGCTCCTTCGCGGCGACCTTCATGACTTCGTGGAGCTTCTCTTCGTCATTCCTCGAAATCTTCAGCGCCGACTCGCACCGGCTCTGCGCAGTGAAGGCCTTCGTCCCAGCACTTTCCCACGCGCCCACAGGATGCCTTGCGATGAGATCACAACCTGTAACCTTGTGCGTCATCGGGAAGGCCGCGGGGATCAGCTCGGGAAGCTCCTCTGGGCTCATTTTCTGGGCGGCGTCGTAGAACTTGTAGCGGCGCTCCTTGATGGCGTCGTCTAGCTGCTGCGGCAGCCTTTCCGCTACGAGCGCTTCCCAGCCATTTCCCCCCTTGAGCTCGACACCATTGACGGCCCACTCTTGAACGGGGGAACTTCGACTTGCACCCGATGTCTGACCATCCCTCCCAGTCATCGCCGAACGCGCCCTTCATCTTGTCCACCCACTCCTTCATGAGCTCGTCTTATGGGTGGCTCTCCTGCGCTTTGACGAGCTGCGACCAGTCCACCTGGCGCCAGAAGTGCCACTTGTCCCCCCTCTCGAGTGGGCGCCGGGGCCTCCCCACCGCATCTTGTTTGGAAAGGCAAGCCCGCGCGAGCAGGCGACGCCCTTCTTTTCGTCGCATCCTGTGCTCCAACTGCATACGTTGAACAGCTGCACGTTGCCACTCCACTTGTCCACGATGTCTAGCGCGTTGAGGTGCGCCGGCTGTTGTCCCCCTATGTTCTTCGCCGTCTTGTAGTCGCCCATCACGCGCAGCTCTTTCTCTTATTCCTCCGGCGGCTCTATTTTTGCTTCCTTCATTGCGTCCTCGTCATTGATGACATTGTCCATGTACTTGTTGAGCAGGACGTCGCATTCCTCGGCGCATCGTGAAGCCTCTGTCATGCTTTTTCCTGCTTTACTACAGGCTGCAAAGATGCCTCCATTCATTTTGATGCCCCCCGGCAGTGCCTTTGCCGCCTCCTTTGACTTCTTCAGGACAAACTTGTTCCTTGCATGGCCAAACTTTTTCTTTGGGCCTCCTTCTTCCGCCAGGAGCGCTTGCGCCGCTTTGCTCCGCCCCCAGGAATGGGCTGCCAACGCGGCTCCGTTTGCTTTCCTCTTCTGTGCTCGGCAGACCTGCTCTCTCGAAATATACTGCTCTCCTCGATGTAGCATCTTTTCTTCATCGCTCCATTTGCCCTGCTCCTCCTGCCTCAGCTCCAGCTCGCAGTCGATGCGCGCCTTCTTCCATTGACTACCTTTGCCCCCTTGATCTTCTTCATGACCAGGTTCATTTCTTGCGTGTCCCCTGTGGCCCTCGATCATGTCGTAGTGCCCGAACCCTTGTCGCAACGCCCGCGGGGCCATAGCTGGCTGCTGCCCGCGAAGGCCACGGGGCGGCCCCCCGTACCGCGCGCTTCGAGGGCCCCCGCTAATGCGCAACGCTGCGCGCCTGGGCCGTCGCTGAGCCAGGTCAGCTGTGGGATCCGAACATGGTCGATGGAGGTGGCAGTTGGTTTCCCATCTGCTCCGATGCTCGCGCAACACCTTGTATGCTGGTCCCGTTTCCCCCCACTGACCGTGACTCTCCTCTATATTGTGCGCATGCTGCACTGTGTGCAACATGCCCGCCCCTCCCACCATCTCTCCGCGTCGGTAACGGATTGGATTGACGATGGAAAGTATCGCGTCGGCATGGTTGATGGCGTCGGTTACTGGCAAGGACGGGTGGACTGGTTGTTGCCAAGGAGGCCTTTCCTCGAGGCATTGCTCAGCAGCTCCGCTCCCCGCCCCGCTCGAAACTTTCGGGCCATTGCGTGTATCCCACCATCTGGGGCAACGTCTAACTTAGCGAGGAGTTCACTGTCCATGCTGGTCGACTCCGATATTCTTTCACCATCTGAAAGATGCCTCTTCCTCTTCGCCTGTGCGCTTTTCGGCGTTCCAGTTCTGCCCAACTGCCCTGGGGGGGGCTCCCCGAGGGCGGCCCCCTCAGTGCTTGATGCTGACGCCGTCGGTAGTGCAGCGCAAATTCTTGTCGGCGGCAGCCGCGGCCTGGCACTCCGCCCTGGGGTCTCTGCACTCCGTGATAACCTCGCCAATGCTAATGCCCCTTCCGTCCTCAGCGGCGCCGACGCTGCGGCCCCCGCTCCGCCATCCCCTCCAGCTCCGACTTGGGCGCCGCCGATTGGGACTTCTTGCCTCCTACGTAGACGATCAGCATCCCCACTGCCGTCCTCGGGTTGTGGCCCGCGAGCTGGTCCAGCTTCGCCATGGTTTATTATTCCGTGTCTTTCGGGTGCACTGCCCTGAAGCAGGGAGGCTCGTTGATGCCGGTCTGGATCTTGCCTGGGCCCTCCCCCCAGAACTCCTGCTCGTCCTCGTTCGGGTTCCTGTTATTGTTGTTGCGCGCCTTGTAGCTCTGGCTGGCCTTGCATATCTTGATCGTCTCTGCGACCATGGCGCGGCTGTGCTCGCGGATGTCTTCCGCCAGCTTCAGGAAGTCATTCAGAGCGCCCGTTGCCGGATCGATCGATGCCGCCGCTGCTGTTGGATCTTGATTCTGCCGATACGACGCCATCTCCTAGGTGCCGTCCGTGGGCGCCATCCCTGCGCGCATGCCTGGGGGGCCCGGCGTGTGTCCCTCGCCCCTCTCCCTGACCTGGCCCCCGTAGTTCTGCCCCGCGGCTGGCGACTCCCGACGCGCCCAACTGCTGACTGGCATGAGGAAGAAGTCTGGTGTCATGTGGTTCATCTCCCCGATCTCTGCTGCCGGGCGGATGGCCATTCGCTGGGGTCCGTTAGTTGATGCATCCTCTGAGGTCGAACTCCTCGTAGTCCTCCGCCGCGCACGGCTGCTGGCGGGGGGGTCTGCGCCCTCCCTCTCCACCCTTGCCGCCCCCCCGTCGCCGCGGCCGCGGCCGCTGGCGGGCTGCCCGCTGTCTTGGCGCTGGTGCCTTCTGTGGTCCACTAGTGTTTTGCCTTTTCCCTTGCCGCCCTCGTGGTGCTCCGGTTCTCCTTGCATCTCCGCGCCTGCCCCCCTTCTGGGCGGGGGCAGTCTCCGCGGCGCAATCGCCGTCTTTCACGCAGCGCCGCCCAGGGCGGCGGCAGCGCGCGCGTGCCTGAAAAGAAAAAGCCACATATTGAACCTGGAAGCCGCAGAGGGTGCAGACTAGGGAAGGAGGCTCCTGGACTGGGTGATCCCAACAACCTCTGTTTTTTGTAACAAGTCCCGTGGCTCTCCGCGGCCCTCGCGACATGGTCGGTCTTTTTTCAAAACGCGAAAGAGCTCAGCACCATGGGCATTGATTCGTTAGCGCGAAACTGGGGATCAGCGGAAGACAGTCGCGCACCGCTCTCCCGCGCGCTGCCAGCGCCGCCGCCGCAATGAATTGCGCCCAGCGCACCTGCCCCTCAGCCCCAGCCTCCCAGTCACGTCAGTACTGCTCTACCGGCTCACCTCCCGCCGTAATTTCTGGTAGCTTTGTATCCCAGGCTTGTCCTTCATGGCGTAGAATAGAGGGGTCCGTTCCTATCCAAGCGCCCCAATCCTTTGCGCCCGTCTGGAACATTAGGATATCTGA